TTCAGAGATTATTTTTTCTTGTTCTTGTTGAATTACTTTTTTTTGTTGCAAAAGATTTAATTTTTTATTATTAAATTTTTTTGTAATTCAGTAATATCAGATTGTTTTAAATTTTCTTGATGATACTTGATAAGTTGGTCATTTATATATTTTTTATATAAATTATTATCAATATCAAATTGTTCAAAAATCTGTTCTTCTTCTACAACATCTGTAGATTCTGCAGCTACTGCAATTTCTGCAATATCTTCCATAGTTTCTCCAACAATTTCTTCAACATCTTCCATAATTTCTTCAACAATTTTTTCACCTTCAGTTTCTTCAACAATTTTTCAATACTTGTTTCTTTAATATTTGCTTTTAATTTTCCTTTGTGCCAACCATATTCTCCATATAGAAATAATATAGGATATTGTAAAAGATCATATGCACCATGCATTTTTGATATTCTTACAAATTTATTATTATTTCTTTTAATAAGAATATCTCTGTTTGATGGTGTTGGATTAATACTATATAATGCAGCTATTTCTGAACATGCTGGTGCATTATAGTTTCTCATATTCTTGCTATAAGTATTATGAATTACTATATTTAATATCTCATGGTTTTGTTCTTTTTCTATATCTTTTGCAGATACAAATATTTGAACAAAAGGATTTTTATAAAACAGATTTCACTGGAGTTCTCTTAACATATCAGAACTCAATGATGATTCCATTATTTTATTTCTTCTTTCAATTTGTTTATCAAAGTCCATTCCATCATAAAATTATATTTGAGCAATTTTTGGTTTAGGATCTTTTCCTCCAATACTTTTAGGGTTAAAAAAACCATGTCGATGAAAAAATTGTTTCTGAATTTTATATGTATAAACCTCCTTTTTAGCATTAGCATATTTTTCAAATTTGTATAAATTGATATAAAGACAAATACTTGATTATATACCCTTATTTTGTTAATATAAGGTTGTTCAGTAATTGGATCTTTTGTAGTAAGTAATTTATATATTGAATCAGGTGGTAGTCTAAGTGGTGCTAATTGGATTTTTCCTTCTAAACAGAAAAATCCTTTAGTTTCCCCCTTCTATTTTAAAGCTAAACATTTATCACAAATAATGTTCATTGTCCCTATTCTATGTCTTTCATATTTCACATCCTCCTCCTCTTCTACCCTCTCATCAAAATGTTCATCTAAACTACAAAATCCTTTTCTATAAAATTGTTCAATTTCCTCTTGTTTCTTTTCTCTATATCTTTTTATTTGACTTTCTCTTTTTTTCTTCTTTTTTCCACTTTTTGTGCTGGTATTATTTTAGCTCTGTGTCTTTGTTGTCTTAATCTAACAGTTTTTTTACTTTCTTTTTTTCTTGTTGTTGTTCTTGTTGAAACTGGTAAATTTGCTTCTGTTTGAGACTTTGTTCTTGTTGAAGGTCCTGCAGGTGATTTCTCTTCTTGATTTTCTTCTCTTTCATAATATCTTCTTTTAGCTTGTCTTTTTGCATCTAATCTTTTTGTTTTTTCTGCTTTAGTCTCATTGTCTATTTTTTTATATGCTTCTTTAATTTCAGGTGGTGTTTTTTTCTTTCTGCCATTTTCTATACCATTAAAAAAATTAAGATAATAATAATTAATTATTTGTATAATTATACAAAATAAAACAAATATACATTAAATAAATTAAATAAATTTTTAAAATTTTTATTATTAATTATAAAGTTTTACCTCTTTTTTTAAATTTTATATTTTTTATAAAGTTGTTAAGTTTTTATATTGTTTTTAATAATATTAATTAAATTTTCTATAAAA